ATGTAACAGAATGAAGAAACATCTAATGTGACAAGGAACAATAGGAAACAGCTGTCATGAACTATCGGTTTTATCTTATTTAATTTGTAATATTACGTGATTTTGTAGGACGAAATCGTTTTAATGTTGTGAAATTTGTTGCTGTTTGTTACTATAACTCTGACCATTTCATTAACCGCCGTCGTTTCTATTGGTGACTACAATCACGGCGGTCAAGTCGGTGATACTGTTCTACATATATTCACTCGTGCCTTACATATCCAATCTAAACCAATACATTCTATTTTATGAATAGGCATACTATGTCTACATGTGATTTGAGAGCCTGCTCCCAAAACTTTCGGTATTTGCAGACGAGAAGTAGCTTCTAGTTGGATGACACTTAAGATTTTAGATTCCGGTCATACATTTAACATAATGGTCGCACTCTGGGTCATCAGATAACCCGTAGTCAATCTTATTTATGTTTCATTAAAGTGATGGTGATGACAATGACTATCAGCGGAATGAAACGAGAGTGGTACATTTGTAGCGTGTTTACAATTCTATTGCTCTGATAGTCTGGACGTTTTTCACACTTTCAATCCCCCTCCCGGTCATCCCTTTGCGTACACCGTGACAGTCCTCAATTACAGCCTCCGGTTTCATTTTCATCCCTTCCACACAGTTAACCATATCGACCATATCATTGTCATTTGTTCTGATTATTTTCCAGATTGCATAACAAAGTCACCGAACTTTCCGTGCGCTACGTTTTTTTATTCAACTACTCACTTCCCACAGGTTACTTCTTGGACATGCAATTGTTTTGTTACTTAATGATATTTAATTGAAGTTAACAGTTGATGATCGAAGTCAAATCTGCCCAAAGTGACCATCATAAGAAATGAATAATCATCCAAGGTTTAATGCTATTTGTTTACCCATTTTCAAGCTGCTCTGCCTACACGGCGTTAGCTATGCCTCCATTAAATTTTGAAGGATAAAAATGTGTACAACCAATAGGTAGGGACCAGTTGAGTGGGGACATGATAAAGGCAGAAACTCGGAAGCTTCTGAATAGGTAATCATTGAATAATGGTTTTGAAGACCATAATTGATGCACTTTCCTCCTATGAGCAGTGCTCATTTGGTGTTAGATACTTAAGAATATTAACAATAAATGTCTAAATAAATGCTTTTTACATCTTTTTTATTTATTGAATACACAAATCTACAGTCAACATTCAGGAAGGGGGGCCGCTGCCATACAAAAGCTGCCTGGGCGATGGTGGAGCGGTTCGAACCCGGGACTTCCAGGTCACCAGTTGGTGACCTAACCACTTGGCTGCCTTCGCCCCAAAATAGAGGTTGGCGATGACAATGGCATAATAATTAACAGTAAGATCACTAGGCAACTGTAATCCGGTTTGCAATCCAAGGAGTGTTATTCAAGCATCCAAGCTTCGAGGAATGATTGGGGGTGATTCTGTATTGGGTGTTGTTAATTAGATGTGACTACCTTCAGTCAACGTTTCGGAAGTTTTATCCAGTCATTCATGTACCATTGCTAGTTCAGCTATTTCAATACCAGTATTCAATATGTGGAGTAGAAACAAAAAACAATAACGGCTAGTGACTTCTCAATCAGAGACAATTAACTACAAATCACAGCCGCCCATCCGACAACATTATTTTAAACAATATATGGAGTAGATGATCCAGTTATTTTTTCACCTATTTTATCATGTATTGCGGTTCATGATTTCTGCATTTGAACTGGAGACACCTTTCGCTCGCAACACAATTAGTTTTTTTCTGAAAAGATACAAAAGGGCCTTCTTTCAACAGTATTATGTGTTATTTATCAGTCTCAGTATCGTTTATTTTCAGAACGTAATGCAACCCATCCGAATACCCAGCTTATGCTAGTGACTTGGAGGGAGTTTCCAACCGAGTCATACCCTCGGGAGGATATCGCTGAGATGTGCGAGGTGCGATACCTGCATTGAGCTTGCATAGATGGTTTCTGTTTAAAGAAAATGGGAAACGGTCTGATCAGATGTCCGGTGGTCGAGTGCTTGGTAGTTTTATGTAATGCATGTGTTGTCTCGGGTTCGATCGCTATTTGGGTCGACGGATTCACCATAGAGATGAGTCCGAACCAGGTAAAAACACCTGCCGAGTGCTTTCTAGTTTTTCAGTTCAGGTTCGCTCCGTGCGCGACGGAATTAGTTCTTGTTGAATAACGAGACGTTTAAACTTTATAGGATCACTCCTAGGTCGCGATGTGTTCACCTTACAGTCGACTCAGAAGTATCTCCGAAAACTTCCAGTTTTGAAATCAAGGGGATCTGATGTAATTTCAGTTTAACCTGCATTAAATGCCTTCTGCTCTCTACCCCGTTATGTGATTAGTTATCATTTGCTGAATATTGAATCGGTATATTAAAACCCCTTTCAGTTCTCCATAAAGTAAAGCAATAAAGTAATACTTTAATGAGCTAGTGAACATGCCTTTGACCGTGCACCAAGTTTGGTTTACACATAATTGACCTAAGTTGGTCGAGTAAGAAGCCAAGTGATGCTAAGATGGATCGATAAATCGACCACCATACCCCGGTGAAAATGTGCATGCCATCCTTAGCCCAAGGAGAAAACCCTAATTGAGATCTACAATGAATCTGAAAAAAGACGTCGAAGTTCACCCATTCAGTCAGGTGATCGGAAGCGTTCTGCATATGATTCTCTGAAGGACAGGATCAGCGAATTACGGCCACTACAACGTGTACTCGTAAAGACTAAATCATTTCAAACCCAAATGTTTCTCGCTGATAGGAATATCTTTCAGGGGGTTCAGCAAACGCCACTCTGCTTCGATATTTGTGGTCCTATGATAATCGCTTTCGACCAAACGATCAAAGCGAACGCGAACAAACAATCGATAAACGTGGACGAGATTATCGATGTGGATTTTATCGTCTTACAGCAGTTAAGTAGCTGTTTACTCATATAAATAGGACCACCGTCAAGTCCTACTGATATCACTTGTTTGCTATATTAAAATAAATTGATTTTATTTTATAATTTCACGCATTTCGTTGAAATGATGAAAATTCTGCTCAGGACAAGATGTGAATCTTGTCATCAAAAACGTATATTATTTTCCTTTAGCCTGTTATGTTTGTAAGCTCATTTTCTTCGGGAACTATCAGAAATATAACTGGGTGTTTCATGAATGAGACATTGTGGAAATATCAGACCCAATTCGGGTTTTCAATCCAGCGAAGTGTCCATTCGTCTGGTTTGGTAGAATTTGATTGAGTCTAAGGGACTATGCTAGTAAAGTTCAACATAACTTAGTGTCAATCGTAGTTGTCAAACGAGAATGCAAATGTTGATTTTTTGGCATACTGCAATCCAGACTTCCCAAGAGGCTTAAGGGAGATATTTACATTAAAACGCATAGCACATTCAGTTAAACTGTACGGATAGTGATGGAAATATCCAACCCAACGGTTTGTGTTATTTATATTCTTCATAAATAATTGTAAACTCTCCAGACAGCCCAAAACAACGCCAAGGCTTCTTTCTGGATCTGCGAGTACCCCTTCTCCGCATGGTTGAGCAATCGGGAAATACTAATCACAGGAAGTCCTACTTGCTCCAACACGGCACCAATACCCATCTTGGACGCACCTGTCACCAGTGTAATCGATGTCGATGTAGAAAATGATGCTAGGAGTGTACGTTCCGTGATGTTCGTATCAATTCATGAAGTATTCTTTCACAGTCCACGGTCCATTTCCGTTCCGCATCGGATTGCACGACAAACAAGGGTTGGGCCCTGTTGGCGAAATTAGGAATAAATCGCGAATAATATTGGGGGCATCCCATAATTGATCGTAGATGATTTTGATCTTTCGGGAATTCGATATTCACTAGAGGTTTGAATCGGTTGGGGTCTGGTCGATATCCTTTGGAACAGACAGTGACTCCCAGGAATTCCAACCGCATCATTCCAAACGTGCACTAGATGGTTTGGTGCATACAATTTTCTCCATGAATCGCTCAAGAAGTTTCTTCAAATTGTTATCATGGACTTCTTCCGTTGTTACAACCACAACCACATCGTTTTGATAGGTTATAACACCGCGTAACCCAGACATAACATTGTCTATCATGGACTGAAAGATTCCCGATGATACATGTACACCGAACGGGAGGAAATTACACTGGAACAATCCCCATGGTGTATTGGTTGGCGTAAATGCCCGCATGTCTGGATGCAATGGAGTTTGAAGGTGGGTATCTACCAAATAAATTTTGAAGAAAAAATGGCAACCATGTAATGATTTCATGAAGTCCTTCGTCTCCATGGTCGTCGCTGCAAATTTTCGCAATCGGGCATTGAATGTCAATTGGTAATCATCGCATATCCTCGGAGTCCTTCCATCACTTTTGATCGCGACAGCAATCGGAGTTGCCCATGCTAATGACGTCAGTAGGGAAATAACTCCATTTTTCTCCATTCGTTCAGTCGCTTTCAGTACGTCGTTTCGGGAATACAGGCTCACCGTTGACCTCCAACATTGCTTTAGGAGCCCTCATTCCTCCCTTATTTTCAGTACACCGGATCATCAGCTTTCGAATTTCCCAAGTAGCATCGGATTTCAATTCACTGGGATAAGGAATATCTCAGCGTTCTCATTACTATCAATCCAAGGATGGCTGGACTGTGCAAATGATTGCTATCCTGGGAATAAATAGGAATGAATAGATTGTCTCACCCAATAGCGGAAGAATGCATCCAGTTACACCATGGATTCATTTTGTAGTCGGTTTTACGATAGCATTGGGGCATACATGCTTGAGAGCTCTACTTGAAATGATGGGCTCACCACTGCCAGTATTCACTCCGAATGCAAAGACAATATATTTGTTACTGAACTGCTTGTATTCGTCCACTGTTCCTAATGTATAAATCGGCCTGGGTTCCTCTTGACATTACAATGTACTCCTCACCATATCTCTGCAGTGAGATCATCATGCTGCTCACATATCCTCCGAGCATCGGAAAATGTTAGATCTTTTTTCTCAAGCAACTTTCTCACAGGAGTTGTATTGGTAATGTCTGCAATAAGGCGATCACATAATTGCTCCTCCAGCCTGTTTCCATAATTGCCCTTGGAAGCCTGTTTTTTGAGCAACAGGATGAAATCTCGACAGGACATTGACTCAGCACGAAGCAACAAATTGAATTTTGCCCTCTCAATGGCTTGGAAATCAACAGGAATCACGTGGGCAAGTAGCAATTGCTTCAGTATCTGGAATGTTAACTTGGCCATATTGTCGGGGAAAGCAAGATTCTTCAGCAAAGAATTTATTTTCTTTCCACCGGCCGTGAGAAATAGTATGGATTGCTCCTGCTTTCCGTTCTACTGCAGGCTGCACCAGAGCTAGAAAGGTTACACTCATTCTTTAATCTCAGACGGATGTGAATGTAGATTCAGGGATTCGATAGTGCACAACTCCATGCCACGACGCCAGTTGTAGTATTCGGGCTGGGGATCGGAATCGAATAGCGTGAACTCGGATTTCGACTGAAAACCCACTGAATAGCGCAGTCAGGTAGAACCAAGATGAGCTGTGGATACAAATAATTCTTTTCTAAAAATTATGCAAATATACATCACAGGCATAAAAAACTCATTGGTCGATTCTCCAGTGTCCAATCAACAACAATATGGTTTATTTGTTTGCCTTCGTGCATTCAGCCAATCCGATTGGTGCCAATTGAGACCACAGGATTCTTCGGTTAATCGGTTTGTTTATTGGTTAACTGGAAGCTGTACCGTGGTGCGTGCGTACTCGTTACACGATCATCATACCGTTTTAACATTAATACCGACAAGAGGTGTGTTGATGGATAGACTTTCATGAAGACCAATTGACCTGGACCAGTAGGAACAATATTGCACTTTTTGCTCCAAAGGATGTACGCTAGCTAACCACGTTTAGAATGTTCCCAACCAATTGATAATCCCAGAGGTTAGTGCTGAGATGAACCAGATTTGATACCCGCAATAAGCTCGAGAGATGTGATGTGCTATATTGTGTGCAGTTATTGATCAATCTCGAGCTACAGGGCGCTCAATTTAGAGATATACTTTAGTTTTCAACAACACATTGACAACTATGAGTAAAAAATTGAATTTGCCACTTCATCACCCAATGCAGTGTTCTTCATTCTTTCATCACAATTTGCGTGGGCTCGACCTTGAATGTCGCGATTGTAGTAGTTGGAAGCTTATAGGGAGAAATTCGAACATATTGATACAGAACAGTGCAGAAGTTCGTCTTTATAGTAATAAATGATTATTGTTGAATTAAGATGTTTACTCTAGCCAATCTAAGTATTCAAAATAGGTTATCTTTTTCATACAGTGAAGAGGAAATATACTGTGATAGGTGATATATTTTATCTTTAATGAACAGTGCATATATGGCATAAAGGTGCTCATATAAATCTCTTGCCAAAAAGGTAGTAAAATGATATTTCGAGAAACGATGAAATTAACCAGCAAGTTTATCTTTCAGGTGTACGGCTCGTTAACTAAGATCTTCTAGTGTCACAACACCCAAACCGGATGAAAAACCCAAGAAGCTTTGATATTCAAATGAAGAAGAGAGGAGAAGTATTAGAGAAACGTTTACATAGGGTGTCTCCGGTCCTGACTTGTGTTGGTGACTTGATGGATACAACCCCAATTTATAGCATAATCAAAGAAATCTTGCCAGTAAGATAGCAATGTGGAAGTGAAAAACCGAGCCTATTAAAGTACTCGAGACGCATTCACAAAAAGCCATAGTTTTCCGAGGTTGTTCACAAAAATGTATTGGATTCATTTTAGATTTTTCTCAAAGTTTTAAAGTTTGTCGACCGCCGCATTTGAGAGTCAAAGTCATTCAGTCACCACCTAAGATTCCGGACATTATGACAATCAAAATTCCTTTTTCCTCCGTGGAGGACAGAGTTAACTACCTCGAGGGCAGTCATTGGAGGCCAGGGCGTGGCATATTCTGAAGAAAACTGACAAATGCAATTTGAGTTCCAATTTGATGGACTCCATGCTAACTGAGAGTCACAAGTACTCAAAACTAAAGAAGAATGCACGTGGTATGGATAAAATGAAATCAGAATACATGTATCATGCTTTGGAGTCCTTTTTATGATCAACTTCTCATGATTTTTTCTACTGATGTTTTGATTTCTTACAGTTGATGTACCACCAGGTGTGGTCGAAATCGAGACATTCAAATATCATAAGGTAATCGAATAATAGAAGCAATAACAAAAGTGAATACTACTGCAGCTATGGTATGTCTGCTGTGGAGCAATATCGTGGTTATTCGCGTGAATGAGGCTCAAGGCGCCAGGCTATTGTGACAGGGGTAGATATGAAGAGAGATCTGACCAAAGTCACTGTATTGCACACGTTCGATCGAAAATCGTCTAGATGGAATGATAAACTGTCTGATCAGCTGACCAGTGATTGAGTGGGTAATATGCTGTTGTTTTACCTGTGAGGTCCCGGGTTCCATCCCCTTTTCGATCGAGGGATGCGCACTTCTGATGAGAGCCAATCAGATCGAAACACCTTATGGTGAGTCATCTCGTCGAAATGACACCAGATACGCGCCTACGCATTCCGGTTTATGGATACCGGACCATAGGCCAACAGGATCAATCGATCAACAGCCGGATGGAGCGAACAAAAGTTGTGTGACGCAAAATATAACGGGGATCAGTTGATATCCGTTTGATCAATAATATTTCTATTTACACATTGTTTGATCACATTGATTTCTCTCCATAAACAAATCAGTGGTGAGAGATTCCACCTTACGATTGTTGGTGCAATTCAGTTACGATCCTGATGTATGATCCGTATATACTTTGATTACTAAATACTTTTCCATTGTCTTCCAGCTTTTCGGTTTGCGCTTCGTTTACACGACGGTATATCATGTAAACGATACCACATGTTGCTATTAGGATTCCTATTAGCACGCCAACTTACTTGATACCCACTTGTGCCAACACATTCAGTTTTCTAGAGCCATGGAAGAAACGTATCCACTGTCTTACAATATCAAAACCGTATGACTGGTCGATTACGCAATAGTGTGTAAAACGCTCATTGATTTGCATTTTCCGGTAAAATGATTTCCTAAATAATTCTGCATTTCTGATCTATTAAATTAAGCTCCTCAGGAGAAGGAACTGCAAGAGAACAAAACTGTCATGTCCGTATGTCTGCACAATAGTCCCGTGAGCATCAAGAAGGTTAGGCAACATTTTTTATTCGAGTAAAGGACAATATCGAAAAATCGGAACAATTCAATGGTCTACCGAGCTTGAATCAGCTTTTGGATCCCAGCAACCATGGACTGTTGAAACGGTTTGCACTCACTCACTCAATAAATCAACAAATAAATCAAACCATCAATCAATCTATCAAGCTATCTGTCCATCAGTCAGTCAGTCAGTTAGTCAGTCAGTCAGTCAGTCAGTCAGTCAGTCAGTCAGTCAGTCAGTCCGCCTGTCTATATGTCTGTCTGTCTACCTGACAAACAACCAATCACTTAGTCCATGTATGAATGGTACTGTCTTAAAGTATACTTTATCTGCAGGAACGCTGACACAATTTGATATGTATTCCGTTTCAGTTCCGCCTAATTTATTTACTGATTTTTCCTTTGACCTTGGTAGAGGGATAACACAGCAATCTGTCACTGAGGTAAAGAATCATGGATTATGGCAATGCAGTCACTAGGGGACTGCATAGTCTGGGTACACGCTGCAGTTTGTTTCAAGCATTTAAACCTTGGACAGTCAGAAAATCACCTACTATTTCACCACATGCGTTGTCGAAAACGTAAATGTGACTTATTGTCATGAGCGAGGTATTACAGAAACATTGATTCTCAATCAATTTTTCGAATGTTATCGTGATTGTGTTAGTTTCATTTCGTTTTTAATTGTTCTGTTAGACGATTGCATAGAGATCCGCGCTGCTGAGGTGGAAAATATATCGGTCAATCCATTCGTACAGAACGTGGGTACTAGTTCACTTTTCGTAATGATTCGATGTATTTCACTTTTTCATTGAACATTGAGAACTCGCATGTTCCAAACGAAGGAATGGTCACTGATGTAACCTTATTTGTGTCCTAAGGACATTGCATTGTATTCCAGCTGAATATTTCCATCAAGGCATTAAGCATTAAGCTTGTATTTAATAATTTCCTTCCACTAAATTAATACAGTAATGTAGTTTGGAAATGCTCACAGTCAATAGATTCGGTGGAGTCATCCATATACCAGCTGTAGCAGTGAGGTTGCATTGCACATTTGTTCTCAAAAGCGATTTATGTAAATGTAAACGTCTCTTTACTTCCTTTTTATTTATTGAATATACAGATGTGCAGTAAACTCTCAGAAAAGGGGCTGCAGCCATACAAAAGCTGCCTGAGGAAATTCAGGAAGGCGAAAGACGGGCAGCGGTGTGGGCAGTTCGAACTCGGGACCTCTGGATCCCATTTTTGTGACATAACCACATGACCACCATTGTCCTGTTCCTTTAGTTGCCCTCGTCTCCTTTTGACACAGCCTACAGAAATAATCGGGACTTCAATTATGATCCTGTGGTACGGACCGAAAGTTGGGTTGCCCATATGATCAACCGAATTTGTGCATTTTCCAAGCCGCATAAAAACAATTATGTAAGATTCTAATCTCTAGGTCCATAGCCTAAATCATTTTTCAGGGTTATACAGAAACGGCATAAGAAGACAGCACTACGTCGGGGATTTGAAGGGTCAAAGAGAATTACATGTGAAAACCGATGGAAATATGTTGATTGGTGAAATTCATGATCAGTTCTTTAAAATAAATTAGGGAACAGGAATGAATATGGTTTCAAACCCAAAACTTGTTTTATTCAAAATAATGACACGTACAATTACAAAACAGTAAAATATAGTAAAACATAATGACTGAAAAACTTCGAAATAATTCTTCCCAGGTAACACATTGTTCACGTTTCTGAGTGTGAAAAGACAAGCTACTCAATTGTCCAACTCCAAAATGAACGTTCTGAAAACCAGTTTATAAATTTATTTATTGACGTTGTTGATTGGCAGATCTGAAGTTTGTATTTCGATTGTGAGAAGTTCAGTGGGATTTGAACACACGCGTGGACGCCACTTACGCTCTTGTACAGCGCACGCACTACCAGCTGAGCTGCGTGGCCACACCTCGCCTCATTCGGAGGACTCCTGT